CTGCTCCAGGAGGGTGAGGACCATAAAACACAGGGGGGGGGCGCCTGTCTGCGGCAGACAGGACTGGACCTCGGTACACTGTATGCAGAAGGCACTGCGGAGGGGACATGAGCAGACAGACCCTGGTGAGGCATGAACACTCGCTTGGAAGCTATGCAGGCAACACCGGGTCTTGCAGCTTTGGCCCTGCAGCTAGGCGCATCCTTCTTGACAAGAATATTTGAGACGCTAGGGCAGCAGTGCAAAACCACCCGCCGCTTCTCGGGAGAAAGACGAGGCTTTCTGCTCCCGTGAAGGTTACTGCTCGGCAATCCACGCAGCAGTTCTGCTCTGTACTGTGAGTCGGACGTGACTGGAGGCAGTGAGTGTTTGGTTTTGAGAGTTTGATGAGTTTGGGTTGGGATTTAAAACGCACGGACAGGTTATCAAGACACCTTTCGGACACAGGAACAGGAAAGACCAGTCTCTGGCAAAGGCCCTCCTGCTCGGTAAAGGGGACGGGGCAGTGTCAGAGAGGAAAACCCCTCGAGGAGATGGACAGACACAGCGGCTGCGACAATGGGCTCTAACGTAACGATTGTGAGAGTGGCGGGGCCTGGCTGTTTCCTTCTGGCGGACATCACGTCCTCGTAGGTCAGAACCTACCGATGCTATCTAAGGACAACACATGCCTGTGGTCATAATCCCATCTGGGAACGGGCTGTCCTTGTTACATTAATAGGATAGACTGGGTGTAGGCTGTCTCTTGAGTTAATCTCATTTGGGACAGAAAGGAGATTAAATCAACAAGCAGGGAGAGTGAGAGAGCGGCTAAGAGAGATGCCAGGGACGCAGCGACATCCTCAAGGAACCAAGAGGCAGAATCCAAAGAGCCGAGGAATTTCTCCTCCAGAGCCTCCCCCTAGAGGCCCCCCCAGTTTGAACTTCCAGCCTCCTAAACTGTGAGAACACAAAGACCTGCTGGCTACAGCTACCCGCTTGTGGCCCTGCTGTTACAGCAAGGTGACGTAACCACATACATATCTGAAAAGCAAGGACATAACTCTGAAGACAAAGGGACGCCTAACCCAAGCTACGGTGCTTTCTGTGGCCTCCTGTGCATGCGGAAGTTGGACACTGAACAAGGAAGGCCAAAGAAGAGCCGTCAACACATGTGGATGACAGTGCTGCTGCCGGAGAACACCGGACTGACCAAAAGAACAGACAGATTTGTCTCGGAAGAAGTACGGCCAGCCTGTTCTTTACAGAGTAAGGAGGGTGAAACTTCATCTCATGTCCTTTGGACGTGTTATCGGAGAGACTGGTCACCAGAGAAGGATGTTCCATTCTGTTAGGCTCGCTAAGAGTCGGAACTGACTTGAAGGACAACATATAACTGAAACAACTGGGTACCCAAAAAAGTGGGGCGCCGTTCTAACAGATACGTAACCTGCGGAAGCAATTCTGGGGATGGGCAACAGGCAGGGGCTGGAAGAGTTGTCTTGAAACCGTTGTCAGAACTACGGAAGTCAAAGGCAATTCCGGTGAGGGCTCAGAAAGCAGTGGAGAGAGCAACAGAGAAGGTCTCTATCATCTATCGTGATGTTGGGTGGCTTCCGTGTTGCTGAGATGCTAGAAACGGTACCACTGTCATTTCAAATGCCGGCAGGGGCTCACCCGGGGTCAGCATGTTTCTGCAATTTCCAGAATCAGACAGACCAGAAGGAGGAAGAGGTGGGAAATCGGATGAACGGCAGTGGAAGGCTGTCCGGTCAAGTGCCAGAAAATGAGCACCCTTCAGGTTGGGAGACACTCAGAATGCGACACAAAGAGCAGCCTCCACAAGGAAGAGTCGCCCTAACGACGGGAGGGGAGAAAGCTTCGGGGCCTCCACTTGCGGATGCAGCGTAACTCAAAGTGGAGAGACAACAGCGGCCAACGTCCATTCATGACTGGACCGTGGAGAGCACCAAGGAGGAACCTAGGCAAACTGAAAGCCATCCAAACTGGAGTGGACAGTTGAAGATTGATATCCTGGGCATTGGTGAGCTGGCATGGCCTGGCATGGCCATTTTAAATCAATCATGCCAGGAGAGAGGACTGGTATCGCATCATTATTTAAAAGGGCGTTTCAAGATCCCCAGCAGCACACTGACGGCGAAAACACCCACACCCCTACAAGGAAGGCCAGGAAATACAATCATTGCTCAAACGTACACACCAACCACTATCGCCAAAGACGAAGAAATGGCAGTTTTGGGTTTTTTAAAAAAAATCAACTTCCATAGTCAAATTGATCAAACATCCACTCAAGAGGCATCGATAGTTACTGGTGGTTGGAATGCCAAAGTTGCAAACGAAGAGGATCGGTACTTGGAAAATACGAGCCTTGGAGACAGACATGACACAGGAGATCACATGATCAAATTCTGCAGTAACAGAACCTTCATGACAAACCCTTTTTCTACACAACATGGACCTCGCTGGATGGAATACACAGGAATCAAATTGACTACATCTGCGAAGAGACAGAGAAGCTCAATATCATCAGTTAGAACAAGGCCGGGGCCAAAGGGTGGAACAGACAGACCATCAAATGCAAGTTCAAGGTGAAGGTGCAGAAAATTAAAACAAGGGTCCGTAAGAGCCAAAACACAAGTTTTAAGCACATCCCACTTGAATTCCGAGACCATCTCAAGAACAGATTTGACGCACTAAACACGAATGACCAAAGACCAGACAGGTTGTGGGACGGCAAAGACATTGGCCTTGAAGGAGGCAAACGGTCATTAAAAAGATAGGAACAGAGGAGGCCAAAACGGGCGCCAGAAGAGACTGTGAGGTTTGATCTTGAACACAGAGCAAAGTGAAAGATGATTCAGTTAAAGAACTAAGCAGATTTCAGAGGGAGGCTCAAGAAGACAAAGTCAAATATCATCATGAAATGTGTGTGCAAAGACCTAGGTTAGAAACCAAGAAGCTGAAGGAAGAAGAAGAAGAAAAAGAAAGTCCAAGCTTCTAGTTGCAGTATTGAGGGATTCTATGGGCAAAATACAGAGAACGCTGCAGGGAGCATCAAAAGAAGGTGAAAGGAGTACACAGCAATTGCGTCAGAAAGAACTGAGCATTCGCCAGTCAACCATTCCAGGAGGCTGATGGTGCTGACGTGAGAAATCCAAACTTCAGTGACGTCACAGATGCAACACCGTATGAAGTGTTTCAACATATCAATGCAGTGCTGAACCAAGAAATCTGGAAGGCAGCCACGTGGCCAGCCCATTAGAAGAGATACCTGCCCGTGGCTATTCCAAAAAAATATGCCCCAACAGAAGGCGGAAGTCGCAAAACCGTATCTCTGATATCATATGCAAGTAACATGTTGCTGAACATAATTTGCAAATGATTGCAGCTGCCTACCAACAGGGAACTACTAGCAATCCAAGCTGGTTTCAGAAGAGTATGTAGAACACGGGATACCGCTGCTGAGATCAGATGGAACTTGGCTAAAAACAGAGAATAGGGGATTTTACTTGTGTTTCCTTGGCTGTGTAAAGGCATTTGACTGCGTGGACCCTAATGAACCGTGGAGATAACATGGTGAAGAATAAATTCCAACGCGGATTGCGCTCATCAGAACCTGCACAAGAGGCAGTAGGTCTAAGAGAACCAGGGAACACTGCACGGTACAAAGTGAGGATCAGGGACTACTCATTCCATTGAGATGTTCAACAGATAATACAGAGAAACAGGAGACAGTATCAGGACCGGAGGAAGACTCATCAACAACCTGTGACATACAGATGACACGGCCT